TCCGGATTATTGCTCTCACTGTCAAACCGTATTCTCTATCATCCTCTTCATGTCTTACTGATGATTCGTCTTCATCGTGGAAGTTCTGAAACCCATTAACAATACATTTAACTCGAGAAATACAAGAAAAAATATATGTTATGTGCATAATTATTGGATATGTTAGTATGTCCTTGACTCGACTGACATTGAACTTCTTTTTTTTTTTTTGCAGTATTTTTTCATTCTAAATATAGAAACTTTCTTTAATTTTCTTCCTTTATATAATGCCTTGATACATTGATAATTCGTTATCCGGAACACTAAATCCAGGAATTAAAAAAAAAAAAAAAAATACAATACGTTGAACTTGATAATTTTATGAGGAATTAAATGATATACTGATTAAAAATAAACACTGTTAAACCTCTAAACAACGGACATTGAAGAATGTGTACGTTATTCGAATGTGGTCTTTGTTTGGAGGTTATTTCGTATACTTTTTACTTAAAAACAATGAAAAATTTCAGTAAAAATTGGCCACTGTTTAGAGGCCAAACCTCTAAACAACGGACACTGAAGGAAACATTTAAAAAAAATGGGCATGGTTCGTTGTTTGGAGGTTATTATGTTGTTCGAAACAAAGAAAAATCTCCTTAAAAGTTTTTGTTTACCGATGGATGGCCGTTGTTGAGAGGTGGCTCTTACTGGAGGTTCGATTATAGAAGATTCGGTTACTTACATATAGAATTGCAGCACAGCTGGAGGATCGGTTGAGAGCAAACGAAATTTAATTAATTTTTTAAATTACTCTTTAATAAAATATCATTGACTCTTACTAAACGAGATTTTTTAAATTGATTTTTAAGTCTATTAACAATCGATTTTCTACTCTATTTAATTCTATGAAATGCAGAGGATTTTTTTAGGGGGGATTCTACCAAACGGTGACATCAAGAGAAACGAGAATGAAATTACTTTTTTTCTGGAAGTTTGAATCAATCGATACAAGAGGAAACATCAAATTTCCTAGGTTAGAAGAGGTAAATAGTGCGTGAAGAACTTCCCTCTTGTTCGACAAATACGTAATCAGTCCAAGGTCAGGTTAAAGTACACTTAGTTATAAGCATTCAGATGCAAAGGATCAATGAGTTGTCGTGGTGTTAGACACTAGAATTTTCCTTATTTCATAATATATTCGTCAATGAATATCGTTAAGGTTGCTTAATATCGATACTTTCCTCTATAAATATACCCTCAAACGCCTCCGACAGTATACTAAACTGTACGCTGTATACTAAAATAACCGTATGTAGAGAAGGGTATATTATACAAAACGTGTACTTTATCATTAAAAACGACCTGCATAAAAGTTGGAGAATGTTTTAGTATACTCTCCTGACCCATAAATCTATATTTTTTATGCCTCTTCACTAATTTTCCTTCTTCTTTACTAAAATATTTTGAAAATTTACATAAATCTAAAGAATTTTTCTTTATAAATGTCTATGAAATAAAACCTCCATTAATGGCTACCTCCTTACAATGGCCACCTGTAAACGGCGGCCATTTTTTTTCAGGAACTTTTAAAATACCTTCAAACAACGGCCATTCTTTGTTTCCTTTAATGGTTCATGCCCATTGTTCAGAGGTTTTAGTGGATTATTTTTAATACTTCATTTTATTTTTAACTTTATTTCAGTCGAACCTCCGATAAAGACCACCTCCCAACTACGTTCACCACTAATAACAGCCATTTTTTTTTTCCAGTAAATTACTTTTCCTGAACAAAACAGCAAACAATAACCTCCAAAGAACGGTCAATTTTTAATATTTCCTTTAGTGTCCGTTGTTCAGAAGTTTCATATTGTTTATTTATTTATCGATTTAATGTTCTAGAAAATGTTTATTATCCAGAATACTCAAAATTATCCTTCCAGGTAAAAGTTTTCATGTGTTAAGTCATAGTTAACAGAAGTTATTGACACGAAACCATTATTACGTGATAATATTACTCACTTTCGTTTACTTTATCGTGATTTAATGTTCTAGAAATTTTAATTCTTTATCCATTGCTCTATAAATTTACATTCTAGATAAGATTTATAATACATTTTCATTGTAAAAAATTCTTTT